CCTCGACTACCTTCTGAACGGTGTATACCACCTCAGCTCCGGGAACGCCGAGGACCCCATCGAGTTGGAAGACGGCGACGACGATGTCGCGGACGGCGGGGGAGCGGCAGGCTTGCAAGACAACGGTGGTAACGATGGGGAATCGCCACCGGGGCAGCTCGAGGACGGCGGCGGGCCGCAGGAAAGCGAAGGTGGTGCACCGGGGGTGGGGGGGATCAAGGAGGAGCCAGCCGTCGGCAACCAGGGCGACGGGGACGGCGCCTCCTCCGAAGATATCGAAGAAGTAGCGGCGGGTATCCTGACAGGCCCAACAAGTGGATGCACCCCTATCTCCTCACCTGCTGCCTTGTCGGAAGGCCAAGCAGCAGCGAGGACCCTGACCTTAGGACCGCGCGGAAAACGTCCGGGCCGAAGGGTCGCGGAGGGAAGCAGAAGGCGAAGAAAGGGTCGCCCAGCACCAGCGACGGAAGCGGGTCGGAGACAAGCGGTGCGTACACCGAGGTAGATTTGTCGTCGAGCGCGATTCGGATGTTCGCAGGGGGCGGCGAAATTCAAAGCCGTGCGCAGGTGAAGAAAGAGCACGCAGCTGTGGCGGCGGCGAACGCGCAAGAGCAGGCGGAGCAGGCGCGGCGCGTCCAGCAGGCCCATACAGGCAAGCTGGTGACGGCTGTGGAAGCTTTGTCGGCAGCCGTTGTGTCGAGGCAGGCTTTGGACGAAGAAGCCGCCCACAGGGCTCGCTGGGATTACGCTCGCTTGGCCAACAAAGCTTAAATCGACGACCTCAGGGGGAAGTTGGAGTTTACACTGGAAGTGCCCAGGGCGATGGCACTGCGAGCCTCCATATCGGCCTTGTATGACATGGATGACGCCGACTTCATGCTCAAACCCATCTCGGCCCCGACCCCACCCGCTGCAGGAGGTGCCCCCAGTACATCCGCGTCTGCATCGGTGACATCTGCAGCGGCACCGCCTGCCACTGCTCCTGGGTCACTGCCCTGCCTGCGTCCATTTCGACATCGCCTGCTGCTTCAACACCCGCGTCTGCGGTCGCCCTAGCGACCCTCCTACGTCCGTGTACCATCCGACGTCGTCTTATCCTTGACCGTGTTTTTTCTTGTGGCCTGTTCTTTTTTTTTTGCGTACGGGCTACAGCAGCGAATGTCTCCGCGTCCGATTCATTCTTGCTGTTTTGTTTTGTCCCATCGTCAAGCTGGGGGAAAATTATTGTAAAATACATGTCAGGATAGAATCCCTCATGTCGCTTTCGACAAACCAACCTGCCAAGTCAACGACGTGGACCAACGGTAGACTTACTTGGGCATGTGCAGCGTGATACCGTTGGTCAACAAAAGACAATTAGAGAGAGTTGTCGAAACCCAGACCGTCGTTGGGAGTGCAATCGAGAAAGAGATAATGAATCATTCTTCACTGACGGTTGGAGACGGTTCCATTTGAGCACAAAATCCAGTCCAATTTGGTCGACGACCTACATCTCATGCCTCCGCCTCCAGGGACATGCGAAGGGAACCCGATGTGTACTTCGAAGTATGTCTACAAAGAAAG